ACAAATCTACAATTACAAATCAGTCTTATAAATACCTAGGTGTTTATGAAAACTAAAAAGTGAGAGCTGATAAATACAAGTAATTATTCCTGATCCAAGAGGTAGTAGCAGAAATGTGTTAAATTCTTGTCTTTCTAAATACTTGCTAGAAGCTCTAACTATACATTTTCTTCTAAATTTCATGTTCATATTCTCAACAAGTAACTAAGACCAACAAAATTCTCATATTTGCCAGCACTTTTTCCAAAAAACATTTCTCATTAATGGTTTTAGTCAAGAATGAGAGCCCAGTAATATAGAAAACCTAGATTTATTTGTTAAGCTATTACAAAGACAAAACAATCACCATTTGGATTTCATCCCAGTTTCACTTTTTCCGTTACAGAACTAACTTAAGATGTTGGAAAGTAAAGGATACAACTGAAGAGGTTGTAACAGAGCAGACTGATGAAACAGGACAAAGGAGCAAAATCTGGTAGCATATGTGGCTGGGATATTACTAAAGAGGTTACCTAGAAATGCCTCAATTAATTAATCTAGGCCCCAAATTAATAGAAGACTCTGGTCCGTGTGAAGAATGAGCAGAGGCTAGGATTCCTCTGAGACCTTTCTTTTTAGGAGTATGGGTATCCTAACCCCAAAGAAGCATTTCTTAGCTTCAACCTCTCTCTCCCACCTAGTCTACCTGTACCTCCAAGCTCCTGTGTGTTTTCACCACATAGGCCTACTAGCTGACAGAAGATGCATACAGTAAAAGCAGGAATTACAGACTTCCCCAGAGGGTACCCTAGACACAGAAAGTTTTGGGGGGTAGATAATGAACTACAAGTACCCTCTTGGTTAAGTTAATTCACCTTTGTTAATAAAATTCTGCTGGTGACAACATGTCTCAGTACAGTCTGTCTCAAGAAAGAACTGGTTCAGGTGAATTTTGGAGAAGGAAAAAGACTTGTCATCAACCCACTCCAGAGTGGAAGAGGCACCAAATTCTCTCCTACAGTTATGAGCAGAATCTGAAAAACAAAAGGTTTGCAGTGTTTATAGTAATAAGAGCTTTTATTAAATGTCTAGTCAAGAGTGCCAGAGAACTGAGATACATTATATCTCGGTCTTTGCAATAACCCTAGCAGGTATGTCTTATTCCCATTTTAAACTAATGTTTTCCTATGGGGAAAATAAGGATTCAAGACATTACGTGACTGTCCCAAGTCATAAGCCAGTGGGTGGTAGATTCTACCATTCATGTGTTTCCCTCTACCCCACCTCATGCACTGAAAGATCCTAGTTCCATTATCTTGAAATTAATAGTTGCATACATAATGATTTATTGTTCATTCTTTAAAGGCACATACATTTACAACTTTAAATGATTAAAAATTCACATTGTTTGGAATTCAGGTCAATTATCCAGATGAAAAACATGTATAAATTTTATGAATAAAATAATTTCCTGCCTCTGAACTCCACCATAAAATAAACAGAAAATAAACCTCATTAGTTTGTGGCGGAATCCTAAGAATTCTCACCAGGGACTGCAACATCCCATTTGTGTAACCATCAGTGATATACCAAATGAGTTTCTCATTATCTTTTTTTTTTTTTTTTTGAGACAGAGCCTCAAGCTGTCCCCCTGGGTAGAGTGCTGTGGCATCACAGCTCATAGCGTCCTCCAACTCCTGGGCTTAAGCGATTCTCTTGCCTCAGCCTCCCAACTAGCTGGGACCAAAGGTGCTCGCCACGATGCCTGGCTATTTTTTGGTTGTAGTTGTCATTGTTGTTTAGCAGGCAGGCCCAGGCTGGATTTGAACCCGCCAGCTCTGGTGTATGTGGCTGGCGCCTTCGCTACTTGAGCTACAGGTGCCGAGCCAAGTTTCTCATTATCCTTATTAACGGTGGTTGCTATTCTCTGAAATATCTATTTTGAAGAAATATATAAAATCCTAAAGGTCCAAAAATCTGTTTGCCAGTTCCAATAAAACAGATGCTAAGCAAGTATCCCTGAGCTGAAAAAAATCAATATGCTATAAAAAAATGTGATGAGAAATAAGACTTAACTTGGTACTAAAAGATTTCCAATGAAGTAGAATGATGAAGTGATCTGAGGCTGTGAGAGCTGAAAATGAAAGTTAACAGAGCTCTAGTGATTCTGAACACACTAATTGCTGGTTTTAGACCTATGGCTACCAGTGACAGAACTAAATGTATTAGAATTAAGTATTTATGGGAAAAAATAAAAATCACAGAATTCGAAGAGTTTATTTTCAGATGTTTCCACTGGCAGGATGTGAGAAGAAAGCAGGGATCCAAGATCACAATTCATGGTGAGTATAAGAAGCAATGCCATACGGCATTCACAACAGCAGTAACCGAGATTTTAAAAGGCTGGTTTCCAATTTAAATGGAATGGAGAAAAGGAATTAAAATTTTTAAGTAGAGAAGCAGCCAATGATTGCTTAAGATTCAGAACTAAAATCTATATCAGAATAAAACAGAAGGAATTTTGAAATATTTAGTGTAGCAGGGAATAATGAGAGATCTCACAACCTAACTGGATGACTGATAGTAATAACAGAGTCAAGTCAAAATATATAAATCTTGTCATGCTATTACTATATGCTTTAATAAAATAAAAGGACCTGGGGAACAGTGGCATCTCAAACACTAGAAAACAACCAGCATTTAAGAAAATAGTGCAGCTGGGCCCAGTGGCTCACATTTGTAATCCTAGCACTCTTGGAGGCTAAGGCAGGTGGATCATCTGAGCTCTACCAAAAGAACTGTTGGTAGCCAGCCTGAGCAAAAGCAAGACCCTGTCTCTACTAAAAAAAAAATCATAATGACAATAATAATAGAGAAAATAGCCAGGCATAACAGCTCATGCCTGTAGTCCCAGCTATGTGGGAGGGTGATACAAGAGTTTGAAGTTACTGTGAGCTACGATGCCATAGCACTCTACCCAGGGAGACTGAATGAGACTCTGTCTCAGAAAAAAGAAATAAGAAAGTAATGCTATTAAGGGTAAGAGGCAGAAGGACATCGTAGGGGGGAAAGAGACAACAACTTAACAATAGCTTATAAAGGAAGGCCTATTATAATTACTTGTTGTAGTTCAGTATGATGTGAACTAGGTACACGACCTTCACTTATAACTTAACATATAGCTGAAATACTCAGACTGGCAAAGGACAATATATTTCTCAGATTAGCAGGAAATAAATAGGGACAAACTTTAGGCAAAGCTTATGAGAATGTGTTAAAAGGAAAGAAAACTGGCAGAAAGCTCTTATGTCAATCACGAAAAACAGGCAGGAAACAACTTGGGAAATGATGACTTTTGGACAACTGTACAAACTTGTTATGGTTTGGCCAGTCAGTCCTGGACACTAAGGTAACCAGACCTTGGTCATCTATTATTTTCAGAAGGAAGGAAACTGATATAAAATTATGATTAAAGCCTTAAATTCAGTTTGGAATTACTTCTATGCCCCCCCCAAACTGAAAAGCAGTGAGTTGTAATAAATTTCTGCTTTGTGTTTCTGATGAGCACAGTGAGAAAAAGTGACTCAAGAGCAGACCAGGACATGATCTCGAGTTCTACTGCTGTCACCTGAGCCAGCGAGAGGTCTCTTTCTATACAAATGGCTCCTAAGTTCACTGAAGATGGTCTGTCTCATTCTCCTACATAATCTAAAGGCCTCATGCAGTGCTCAGCATGTGGGAAGTGTACAGGAAATGGTAAACTGGACATCACTATGTTGCAGTCTTTACTTTCTTAGGGGGAAAAACCATGTAATTTTCAATAATTTTGGAAATGGATAATAAAATTTTTCCAAATTGCTAATTATAAAAGTCTCTTGATGAGGAGGCGCCTATGGCTCAGTGAATAGGGCACCAGCCCCATATACTGAGGGTGGTAGGTTCAAACCCGGCCCCGGCCAAACTGCAACAAAAAAACAGCCAGGAATTGTGGCAGGCACCTGTAGTCCCAGGTACTCCTATGCCCAAGAGGTGGAGGTTGCTGTGAGCTGTGACACCACGACACTCTACCGAGGGTGACAAACTGAGACTCTGTCTCAAAAAAAAAAAAAAAATTTAAAGGTCTCTTGATGTATGAAAATAAAAATTAATCACTTCACAGGATTTTCATGTTCAATGACAAGAGATAAAATAAGATACTCACCTTCAAACAACATAAACCATTTTCAGTGATCAACATCTGCATCCTCAAACTGTCCAGCAACTGTTGGTGTAGTATCCACTTCCATCCCATCTAAACAAAAAATGAATTGCTGAGCAATATTCTACTGAGCACTGCAGACTACAGGTAAACACTCAACTTCTAAGACCAGGAGGAAGCTAGTGCCCTCTACTGGTAAGAGTTGCTATTTTCTTTTTCTTTTTTGAAAAGTACAGAAGAACAAATAGAGAAAGGAAAATGCGACCTGTGGATTTAGGGTGAGTTAAAGTCAGACCACATTAAACATTTACTTATAAATTCTCAATCTCAATGGTAAAAGAACTGTTGGTAGCCAGACATGGTGGCTGACACCTATAATCCTAGCACTCTGGGAGGTGGAGGCCAGAGGATCACTTGAGATAAAAAGTTCAAGTCACAGCTCGGCGCCTGTGGGTCAAGTGGCTAAGGCGCCAGCCACATACACCGAAGGTGGCGGGTTGGAATCCAGCCTGGGCCCGCCAAACAACAATGATGGCTGCAACCAAAAAATAGCTGGGCATTGTGGTGGGCGCCTATAGTCCCAGCTACTTGGGAGGCAGAGGCAGGAGACTCACTTGAGCCCAGGAGTTGGAGGTTGCTGTGAGCTGTGATGCCACGGCACTCTGCCCAGGGGGACAGCTTGAGGCTCTGTCTCAAAAAAAAAAGTTCAAGTCACATAAGAGGGTTTTTCTCCAGTATTTTTCCTCTCCAGTCAGTTTTCCATATCGCAACCAGAATTATCTTCTAAAAATTAATCAGTGGCCAGGTGTGGTGGCTCACACCTGTAATCCTAGCACTCTGAGAGGCTGAGGTGGAAGGATTGCTTGAGCTCACAGGTTCAAGACCAACCTGAGCCAGAGAGAGAGACCCTGTCTCTACTAAAAATAAAAAAAAACTGAGGCAAGAGGGTCACCTGAGCCCAAGAGTTTTAGGTTGCTGTGAGCCATGATGTTGCTATGGCACCCTACCCAGGGCATCAGCTTGAGACTCCGTCTCAAAAAAATAAAACATTAACCAAACTAAATTTCTTTAGTAGCTTCCCACTAACCTAAGAGCTCCTCTAAGACATAGCATAGTTCACTACTCCACCTTTATCAGTTACTATAATAGCTACTCTTCACAAAGTTCCAGACACAATTAACTACTTTCAGTTCCCTAAAGCTGAACACTCTCTTGAAACTCTGCACATGACTAATCTGTCTACCTGCCTTTCCTCCCAATCTGTGTGCAATCCCTCTTCATCTAGGTCACTTCTATACATTGTCCAGATCTTGGTTCAAATGCTCTTTACTTCACAAACTTTTAACTTTTACCTTGACTGGTTGATGTAGTAAGTATATCTTTTTTTGCACATCAGCTCATTTTATCCTGTGACCACTTGTTAGATGTTTGACCTCAGGCAAGTTACATAACCTTTCTGTGCCTCTGTTTCCTCACTTGTAAAATCATAATAGCTAGCATTCACAACATGGTGTTCATGGAAGGATTAACTGAGTAAAGACCACATATGCATAATGTGTTTAAATTACAGTCTGGAACATACATAATAAGCATTATCTAAGCAATATATTGCAGGTAGCAGGAAAATTATTGGAGATACTTGGAGCAAAGACAAAGATGTCTCTTCAGAGTCAAAACTACAGCATCAGGAAATCACTGAGGGACATCTTTATAGGAGTGCCCATGAAAAAGTATTCTAAGAAGATGGTGACGAAGGGATGATAGAGGCAAGAAATTTTCTATCATAAATCCAGTGTGACAAAAAAGGACCTACGTTTGGAGAACTGTAGTGGTAATAGCAAGGACACATGAAAGTAAGGGCAAAATCCATGGAACTAAGTATCAGACTGGACGAAGGAATAAATGGTAAAGTTTGCGTCAAAAGAACATTTTACAGTTCTAATCAAAACAGGATTATTTAGGAAAGGAACCAGTTTGATAGAGAAAATGCAAACAAGCTTCAAAATAGAAGAAAATGGAAACATTCAAGCCAGTTAAAGTGCAGAAGCTTGTCATGAGAACCCAATTTTCTTGAATACTACATAACCCTTTATGTCAACTAACTATGCTAGTTTTGCATATAATCATGTAGCAATTCATTATAAGATAAAAATAGTAGTATCCTTTTGTGTACACACAAACACATATAAGCAAACAAGACTGGAAGGATAAACAACAGAAAATAATAGATATCTTTCAGAATCATACTTGATTTTTTCCTACCTCTTCTCTGCCTGTGTACACTTTTAAAATTTTTGACTATGGGCTTGATGCCTGTAGTGCAGTGGTTACAGCGCCAGCCACAAACACCAAGGCTTGCAGGGGTTCGAACCCAGCCTGGGCCAGCTAAAACAACAATGACAACTGCAACAGAAAAATAACTGGATGCTATGGTAGGCACCTGTAGTCCCAGCTACTTGGGAGGCTGAGACAAGAGAGTCACTTCAGCCCAACAGTTAGAGGTAGCTGTGAGCTGTGACACCATGGCACTCTACCAAGGGCAACATAGTGGAACTCTGTATCAAAAAAAATAAAAAATAAAATAAACAAAATTTTTGACTATGAACATAGACTATTTTTGTAGTATGGAGGGTAGATACCAATAAAAAATTACATAATATATATAAAATCAGCACATTGTATCCTATGATTGCATTAATGTACACAGCTATGATTTAATAAAAAAATTACATAAAACTTCCCATTCTATACGATAGTGAGTTTACTCTGAGATTTCTCCTTTAGTGTTCTAGGTTGAATTCTGTCTCCCTGAAAATCATGTGCATGTTCTAACCTCCAACACCTCAGGATATGACCTTATTTAGAGACAGGATATTTATGGAGGTAATCAAGGTAAAGCAAGGTCATCCGAGTGGGACTTGATCCAATATGGGGGTGTTAATAAGAAGGCAAATAATGTTATGCATCCACTTCACTAGGCCATAGTACCCAGAGAGCCTGTCAAACATTATTTTGGATGTTTCTGCGGATGTTATTTTTTAGATACGTTTAACATATAAATTGATAGACTCTAATCTAAGCAGACTACCCTCTATAATGTGACAGACCTCATCTAATCAGATGAAGGTCTTAATTGAACAAATATTTAACACCGTGAGCAAGAAATTCTGCAGCATGGCTTGGTGCTTATAGCATAGTGGATAAGGCGCCAGCTACATACACCAAGGCTGGCGGGTTTGAACCCAGCCCAGCCAGCTAAATAATGATAACTCCAACAAAAAACAGCTGGGCATTGTGGTATCCCAGCTACTTGGGAGGCTGAGGTAAGAGAATTACTTGAGCCCAAGAGTTTGAGGTTGCTATGAGCTGTGATGCCACAGCACTCTACCGAGGGCTGCATAGTAAGACACTGTCTCAAAAAAAAGAAAAGAAATTCTGCAGCAAACTGCCTTCAGATTGCAACATCAGTTCTTTCCTGGGTATCCAGCCTGTTGGCCTACCCTGCAAATTCTGGACTTGCCTGCTTTCATAAGCATGTGAACCAATTTCTTAAATAAATCTCTACACACACACACACACACACACACACACACACCCTACTGCTTCTATTTTTAGAAATCTCCCTCAAGCTTTAGTATTAGATAAACACAAGAAAAGAAAAGAATCTGTTATGCCAACCTGTCTGTCACTGGACATGCTAACTTGTCTAATAATTGTACATTTGGGGAGAATATCTACAACCCTAATAGAAGGTAACTTGGAAAAAAATAGTAAACACAGAGATAGGGAAGATGACACAAAGACAAAGGGAAAGACAGTTATCGACATGCCAAGGAGAGAGGCCTGAAACACAGCCTTCAGAGACAACAAATCCTGCACTTCTATCCTCCAGAACTGAGACAACAAATTTCTATTGTTTAAGCTACCCATCCCACGGCACTTTGTTACAACGTTACTAGCAAACTAAAACAGAAGCAACAGAAAATGAATAGTAAGTATCTCTCAGAATTATACTTGATTTTTTTCACTGCCTGCACACATTTAAAAAATTTTTGTGGCCAGGTATGGTAGCTTACACCTGTAACCACAGCACTTTGGAAGGCCAAAGTGGGAGGATTGCTTCAGGCCAGGAATTTGAGACCAGCTGGGGTGAGGCTCCATCTCTATAAAAAATTTAGGAAAAGAAAAAACCAAAAAGTGAAGCATGATTGCACCTATAGTCCCAGCTACTCAGGAGGCAGGAGGATCCCTTGAGCCCAGGAGTCTGAAGCAACAGTGAGCTATGTTTGTGCCACTGCATTTTAGCCTGGGGGACACAGTAAAACCTTCTCTCTTAAAATAATTAAAATTAAAAAATAAAAAATTTTCCAGTGGTGGCTGTGGCACCAGCCCCATATACCAAGGGTGGCAAGTTTGAACCTGGCTCCTGGTCAAACTGCAACAAAAAATAGCCGGGCGTTGTGCCAGGCACCTGTGGTCCCAGCTACACGGGAGAATGAGGCAAGAGAAAATCACCTAAGCCGGACAACATGGCACTCTACTGAGGGCAAAAGAGTAAGATTCTGTCGCTAAAAAAATAAATAAATAAAATATAAATAAATAAATAAATTTCACTGTGAATAAAGACTGTTTATGTAGTCTGGGGGAAAAAATCACTAAAAACAAATTATGTAAGAATTTCCAGTCAGGCATGGTGGCTCACCTGTAATCCTAACACTCTGAGAGGCCAAGGTGGGAAGATCAGCTGAGCTCACAAGTTCAAGATCAACCTGAGCGGCTCGGCGCCTGGTGGCTCAAGTGGCTAAGGTGACAGCCACATACACCTAAGGTGGTGGGTTTGAATCCAGCCCAGGCCCGCCAAACAACAATGACAGCTGCAACCAAAAAATAGCCGGGCGTTGTGGCAGGCACCTGTGGTCCCAGCTACTTGGGAGGCTGAGGCAAGAGACTTGCTTGAGCCCAGGAGTTGGAGGTTGCTGTGAG